GGAAAGAGAATTAAAGGTCTAAGGAAAAAAATCACAGAATCACAGAATGGTAGGGGTTGTAAGGAACCTCTGAAGATGATCTAGCCCAATGACTGCTGGGAAATGTAAAGTTTTAACAAAACTAAGCAAGTCATCTCCCACTGAGCTGCTCAAGGAAACAAACATGCCAAAAAAGTTCTGTTCCAATATTATTTTTTTCAGCGAAAATGCAATCTCAACAGTCTTTTCACACTAATTTTGCAAAAGCAAAATAATCCAACATTGAATAATCAAAGTCTCAAAATCAACTGCTCACTGATAGTTAGAATATGTAAAAGTTTTATTGCTCCAAAAGCAATTTCATTCCTTGCTTTGATCTTTTTATAATGGTAATTTTATGGTTTCTTGAGGATCCAAACAGAATACAAAGTTTGGAAGTTTCTTAAAATGCTGAGCTAAAATACAGATAAAACCAGTAAAATTTAATTCATATATATGGTATGTTCACTTTGATTTTTTTCCCTTGATATTCATTCTGCCCTATATTTCATAAACCCAGATGAAAACATTTGGCTCTGGGAAATGATAAATGCTCTTGTAATACTAGCACTCTAAGGATTAAAATTATAGTTTTATTTAAGCCTTATATCCAAAATCTGTTCCTGAGCTTGCCATAGCTTTGAAATAATTCTTCAATACACCAGTAACCAATAGCTATAGATAAAAACTGAAGAAAACACTCACCTTGCTGTCTCTCTCCACTCTGCATCCTCTCCTTCACGCCAGCAAATTTCATCAAGCTCAGTAAAGAGATCATGAGGAATGTGTTCCTCATCATCATCTTCCGTTCCAAGAATAAACTGCACCCTTTGTGATGGGGTATCTGGGGAAAAAATAAAAAGATCAAGTCCAGAATAACAGGTTTTTTGCCCTGAGCTAGCAAATACCTAAAATTTCAGGAGATTTTCCAGACTCTTTCATCCCTATTACTTACTGCGTAGCTATGCTGCAGTAACATTTACACACAAACACCTTCAGATTTAGACCTCTTTATTTACCGTACTTGTCTAGCCTGCTAATTAAACAAACTCATCTAAAGATAGAATGTGATGTACAGAAGCAATGACTATTGCACTGGGATAGTATCTCTGAGAAAAAAGGCAGCACAGAGAGCAGATAGATAGAGATGATAAAAGGCTTCTACTCCAGTGCTACAAAAACTACTTTGCCACAAAGCAGTTTTGTCTAAACCTACAGATGTGGCTCAGCTCACAAAGGTGTTAGACTAAACGTGCATTCTTTGTAGTACCTAGCAGGAGAAAGAAACCAAAAGCAACCTCTCTAATGTAAATATACAACTGAGACCTTCAAAAAGAATACATCACTATTTACACCTACTAGCCCCTGTCCCTTTGTAAACCGTTCCTATATGGTTATAATGTTCCAGATGAACAAGCTCTTTATCTGTCCCAACTTCCCCACCTTGTTCTTCCTCTCTCTGTCTTCCCTTTATGCCCCTATTACCAGTTATTTTTTCTTCATAACTTTTCAGTGCAGATCACTAAATGTATTTGAGATATACTATTCTTTTTTCATATCACTCAGAAAATTTCCAGAATTCACAAAGCACCTTAACGCACATGTATATTGATAATTAAAAAAAAAAAAAAATCCCATTGGCTTAGTTAAATGCAAATCTCAAATGAACAAACTCTTGATGAAACCCAGTCTCTCTAGAAATATATAGTTATCTTTTCTGCTAATGCATTATAGATTTCTGAGAGGAATCAAAAGTTCTTTGTGAGAGCTGATAGCAGCCAGGCTGCCAGTGAAAAAGTGACTATCCAGTAGAACACCTTAGGGATGCCTTGAACGCTGTCTAAATGAAGTTCTGTTTTACAACCATATTTTTAAGACAAGCTACCATATTTTCCATCTAGCAGTGAAGAGCATCATTGCATAGGATCCTCAGGCTCTCTGAATTTCAGAGAAACTGAGATGATAGCACTCACTGAATGCTAGTTAAAGACCAAATACAGCATTGATCAAAAATAATTAAACGGGCCACTGATAGGAGAGATGAACTTTAGTAGTAGCAGCAGTATTCTTGTTATATCAATGACACACACACACACAATGCATGACAGTTTTTACCTGACGTCTATTTGTTTAAACAGAGTGTAAAGAAATGCAGGAAGAAATACAGACGATAAGGTAGAGAGACATGGGCCCAGGTACTACTAAAGTCTAGAAAATGGAACTGCAGGGCGACAGCTAAGGGGACAGAAATTACTTTTGGTCAATCATTAAAAGAACAGCAACAATCTCCTCTATTTTATCTTTCTTTTATTACTTCGCTCACTGTTCAGTCGTCTTTTTTTCTTTAAAATCACACAGAATCACAGAATCACAGAATGTTCGGGGTTGGAAGGGACCTCTGAAGATCATCTAGTCCAACCTTCATCCCAGCACACCTAACCACTACACCACAGCCTCAAGTGCTGGATCTACTTTTTTTTTAAACACCTCCAGGGTTGGTGACTCCACCACCTCCCTGGGCAGCCTGTTCCAGTGCCTCACCACTCGTTCAGTAAAGAACTTCCTCCGAATGTCCAACCTAAACTTACCCTGACGCAACTTGAGGCCATTTCCCCTTGTCCTGTCATTAGTAATTAGAGAGAAGAGACCAGCACCAGCCTCACTACAGCCTCCTTTTAGGTAGTTGTAGAGGGCAATAAGGTCTTCTCTCAGCCTCCTCTTCTCCAGACTAAACAAACCCAGTTCTCTACTCTAGACCTCCTTCCAGCCTCTCTCTACCTATTTTTTTTAAAAATCCTTTATGTTCCTCACAGTCACATGTTGGCATGTTCTAGAGAAGGATGAAGTAAATAAGAACATCAAGATTTAATGTGAGACCAGAAACTATGTTCTGGTCAAGAAGCGTGCAACTTCTTAAGTCTATTTGCCAGAAGGACAAAATTCAGTCAGATATGAACTTGCAAAGGGCAACTGCATATGACTAGTGACAGAACATGGAAAACAAACTACTTCAGTAGAGAGCTGGAATGCAGTGAGAATCTGAGCATAAGCATTGCCAGGAACGTCCTGTGCTCTTGATAAAATCAGCACTAGAACTGATTTACAGCAACAGCTACTGTTAAGCAATAAATGAGTAGCACTGCACAGCAGAGCTGCAGATTTATGACAGTTATGATGCTCATGCAAATGCACGCTTTCAGCGTGGGAAGGAAAGCAGAGGATCAGAAATCTCTTGAAGTCAGGTGAGTAGCAACAAGGAAACACCCTGCTGCTGTTACTTCCTCTTACTGGGTCTTCTGTGTAACATAGAGCTACCTGATTGACAACAGTGAAGAATCTATATAAATGACAAAATATGCACTAAATTCTCTTCTTTCTTGTTAACATGCCAGTAAAACTAGCTGCTAGATTCTGGGTATCTTTCTTTGCTGCTGTCATTTGTACTGGTGTCTGAAAACCGCAAGCCACAGCTTGACTTTCAAACACTAAACTGAAAACCAAAAATAAAGTTGTTTGCTTTATAGTACAATAACTTTATTTCAGGGACAAAATCTAAGAGAATTAAACAACAGGAACACAATAACACTTTTTTTTAAATTAGATCTGTTTGTTCTACTTATAAAACTCAGTTAACAGGATTACTCATGTGAGCGCTGCCAGATGGATTTGGCTCTTATTCACAGGAGTAATAAATACCAAGTATGTCATTAATGTGTTATACGGAAAACGAATAATATGCGATTCAAAAACAGTATCAAAGAATATTTCAGTTGCTGACTGTCGAACTGTGATAACTTAATCCTCAATGTAGAAGCACATTATTTGCAAACTAGGACACTCAATGTTCTGAAGTTCTGAGAAAACAGAAATTGGCTTGAATAGTATCTGTGTCTATCCCTACTTAAAGTAGCAGAGCTAAGGTAAAAGAAAAATTCTTAATGTTATTATTGCTATGTCTAAAAGGTAATGAAAATTAAAAAATAAATGAACGGGACTAATTTGTTACATTATTTCAACACTTGGGCTGGGCTAATGTCATAGTTCGAGCCACTTGCTCACCCCTGCCTCTTTAATGATGGAGAAGTAGAAAATTCAATAAAAACGGCTTTGAGATTAGGCCAAGGAGGGTTCACTTACGGTCATGGGCAAAAGTCAGAGTAAACTTGGGGAAAAAAATATTTTATTTACCAGCACCAGTTTAACCAAATCAACTAGATCATAGTAGAACAGTGAGAGAAATAAATACAAATAAATACACTTTCCTCCTCCACTCCTCCCTTCTTCTGGGCTACCTCCTCCCCGCTAGCAGCGCAGGGGGGCAGAGGATGAGGAGTGCAGTCTGTCCATCACTCAACTCTTCCTCCTTGGGAAAAGGACTCCTCAGAGCTTTCCCCTGCTGGCACATGATGTCCATCTCATGGGTGATAATCCTCCTCTTCCATGCGAGTCCTTCCCACCAGTGTGGGACCTACTCGCAGGCTGCAGTATCCTCTGCTTCAGCAAGGGTCCTCCTTCAGAGTCGCAGTTCGCTTCAGGAGCAGCTTTTGCTCCTGCGTGGTGTCAGTCTCTCCTGCCATGGGGTCCTCCGCCATCCCACCACCCCAGCACAGGCTCAGGGAGATCTCTGCCCCAGCACCGTTCTCTCCTTCCCCCTCTGTCTTTACCAACAGCATGGTTGCTCTCTTCGCCTCGCCCTCCTCACTAAAAGAAAACCTCCCCAACACAAAAGACAGGACAAAGAGGCTGGCCCAACAGGTTTCCCCTCTTAAATACATTGATGACAGAGGTGCTGACTGGCCTGGCCTTGGCCAGAGGAGGGTCAAACCTTTACCTCGGGCTGGGGGAGGCTCTGGAAGCTTCACAAAGAGCAACCCCCCCAATCCTTCCCCCACTACCAAAAACACCTGCCAGACACAAACCCATCACAGATAAAAAAGCAGGATCGTTCTCAGGCCCTCCACATAAATTAAGCCCAGCAAGAAACCTGCTCCACTGCACCGCTCCGAGTGACCCACATCTCCTTCTCAACGCGTGCCAGGATTTCCCCTGAGAAAACCTGCCCTGCCATCAGGCAGAACCGCACGCAATCCGCACAAGTCATGCCACAAGCAGAAACACAGCCTTAGGTACATAAAAAATGTATTGAAATTTTGTCCTCTGCTCTTGATAAACTCTAGAAAGGGTGCAAAAACTTGTTTCTGGTAACACTTTTACTAGCTCAACTGTTAGAAGAGGTTTCTGTATTTCTAAGCCTGTTGAGAACTTGCATTTAAGGGTAGTATTAGTAGGTTAATTCTTATTGGAGTAAGTAGCGATAGGGGTGAAAAATTATTTTTCTACATTAGAAAGCATGCTAAACATTAAGACAAAATTTATATAATAAAACTTCACATCAGATAGTAAACATCATAGGTAAGATTTAAGCCATGCCTCATCCTCGTACATACTCACATTAAAGTAATATTAAATAGACAAAAGTTTTTTATTGCTCACTGCACAGGACAGGCTGCAGACAGGGAGTGAATTGATATAACTCAGCTTAAACCAGTAACAACTCCTTTCAAACTAAGAGGAAATGGTGTGAAAAATTCACAGGACCACAAAATTAAAACAAAAATTATATTACTCTAGATCATATAGAAGAAGTAAACAGACATACATCACACTTCTGAAAATCTCTCCACAGACCTCAGAAACCATGTGTTAGGATGCAAGACAGTATTCCCTCGCTTGCTCCTCTGGCACTTTACCCCTACAAGTATAATCTTGTTTTCAGGAAGCGCTCTCTGTATTTTCTTTACATGAATTATTTCCATCACCTCAGGGCTATGGCAAATAATCTTGTGTTTCGGACCTACCAATATGAACAATTCCCAAGCTTCAATTCTCTTCTTTTTGCTAGACTCTTAAAAAAGCAGTTATGATACACTATTTTAATCCAGATTTGCTGCAATCTGTTCCACAGCTGCCCAGAGATTCGTATTTCCAAGTTCATCCTTCAGCAGCAAAGTCTATAGTTAAGTAGGAGTATTCTCTTAACAGCCATGCTCTTTACAAATAATTAAATCTGCCCCATTAACAGCCCTTCAAGGTTTAAGGTTAGTTACCAAATACGGTGTCCTTTGATTATATTTTCTTCAAGCCTCTGTAGTAACCAAGAGAAGTCCCCCTTTGCAATTCACTTTTTCGCTTGCATTACCTTCAGAGAGCCTTTCCTGAACCCTGCGTGTAGTCTTCTGGAGGTCTTACCTCCAAGGCTGCTCAGCTGCCCTTGCTGCATCCAGTATCACAAATTACAGATCTAAGCTTCTTTAAAACTAGAGATTATTAAAGTCAGATTTCTTAAAAGGGCACAAGCCCCAACAGTGTCTAGTCCTAGAGAGAGCACAGGAAGCTGAAATCAAACCCCAGTCTTCACAGCTGCCTTCATTCTCACAAAACCTGTCCTTAAAGATACCCTGCTGAGAGCTAAAGTCTTCCTATTCTCCCTCCCATTTAAAAAAAGAAACAAAAATACCTTTAATTCGCAAGCACAAAAGAGCTGTTTTGCTGGTTTCAGACAAAAAAAACCAAAACCCATTGAAAATTGCCACTAAAACCCGCGTTAATACCAAGCAAGTGCAACCCTACCCACCAAAGGGAATCTGCAACCAGGCTCTGAATGCCACCACGACCTGCAGCGCCGACGGAGCAGTCCTGGCCAGCTTGGGGGCTGGCACTCACTGCCCCCCCAGCAAACAGCACCAAGGAGCTGCTCTAGGCTAGAAATGGCATTTTTGCCACTCTAATTCTAATTTGCATCGATTCCCAAACTTAATTCACAGAGCAGCCACAACACGTACCCCACGGAGAGAGAGCTGTGGAAGAGGTGAGCTTAAAATGGGCACGAAACTGGGAACTATTTCAACTGGGAATGGTAAACCTCTTCAAGAAAACAAAAAGCATTACTGCACTTTTAACTAGAATGCTGTCCTGGTTGGAGAATACAAGGATAATTTATCCTTGCAGGATTATTATGAAGGACAAATACATAATTTCACTGGATTTTTTTCTTTCCTCCCAAAAAATTATGAGGCAAGATGGTGAAAATCTAGATATTGATAGCACTTAGCTCACAATTTTTACTAGCCAAAAAAGCCTCCACATGAGCAAGCAAATTATGCAGTTCAAAGGCCTGTCATTATGGTAAAATGGAAACACCTTGTACAACCTCATCTCATCAAAAGGCAACAGACAGCAAAGAACAGGTGTGGGGAAAACAAACCCAAAACATGATTAAGGGATCTGTGCTCCCAAAATGACAGGACTCCTTTTTATTTTGACTAACTATATATTCCATGTATTATTTGTCTACAAGCTCTGAAACTGCACAATGAGAACACTTGGGTTATTTTTGAAAAGTGACAGTGGGAGATTAAAAAAAAAAAAGATAAAAGCTTATGAGCTGCCGTCAGAATGTTCTTAAAAAAAAAAAAATCTATTCTCTGCAGAAACCTTCCATCAGAAAGTAGCTGGTACAGCTTTTCCAGCCAGGATTCAAAGGGATTACCAGGAAGCTCCCAGCCATGGGCATTACACTGAATACAGGTGTTTTCTAGCCACGTTCATACAAAGAAAGCCGTTTACAAAATTGTTTTTCACTGGCTAGGAACCAGGTGGCACCCATCCACTCTGAGAGGGGCCCTCACAGCCCCACAGCACTATGTGCACCACATAGGACCCTGGAGCAGAGACAGCAGAGCAAGATCTGCACCTAATGGTACTTCACAGATGTAGTTATAAATTATACAGTTATAAAATATGACAAAAAGTAATGCTTCATCCCATGCATGGTTAACTGAGCAGTCTGGAACAATTCAAGTCTGAACATTTCAGGCATTTACTAGTTCCAGCATCTTTTATTCAGTTGTTGCATCTTTGGCTTTTATTACACCTCCTTCCGTAATTCACTGCTTCAAAACACTGCTGATTTATTCTCTTGGATCACAAAAATTCTAATGTATTTTTCTTACTTACTTCAATGCATTGTTTTCTATCAGCTGGTCTCACAGTGCTTACTTTCTCTATCTTCTTGCACCTGCTCGTCGAAATGTTTTCTTTCCTCTCCTCCCTCCCAGTTGCCAAGAATAAAGCCTCCTACTACTCAGCAGAAACATGTTAACAGGTGTCTATAGAAAGAGGGAGTTAAGCACTTCTGCATGTTTAACTAAATCGGAATGATTCATAAATTAAAGGCTATTTTGGATCTGCTCTCTTAGGTAGCAGTCCCTCATACCGAATTACACATAAACAGTAGGAAGTGCATTTGTCTTCCTTGCAGCTTCTTCATGCTCTGGGTACTGTTATAACCTCGTGGTCATTGGAAATGAGAGCTAAGAAGCATTACTGAGGTTTAGTGCATTCAGACTTAGTGTGGGAAGCATCTGTTGCTCCCTTTGTGTAAATGAAGCATAGAAAAACCATGTTTATATTCCCTGTAAAGGCAACATTTCTGCCCAGGCAGTGCAGCAACCTGTCTGAAACTCCTGTAAGGAAAATCCATGGTAAAAGCAAGGGTCTGGATATAGTCTGTCTGATTTGATCGTGATTAACTCCTCCATCACTGTGTAATTTTCAGATTTGCTTTCATAAGACAAGGGGTTTTGCTACGGGATGCCATATTTCTGCCTGGATGGACAGATGTCAAAGCTCAGTCAAAACTTGGTTCGCTGGCCAACCTTCCAGAAGTCAGACAGCCAAGGGGACAAATCCTTGAGTTTTACTACTCAAATATTATTTCAGGGTGAAAAAATTGGTATTTCCAGATTTTTCTGAATGTTTAGGTAGTTCTCTCTTTGGCCCCTTTAAATTACTATCACCCAAGCATTCTGAAGTGCATCTTCAGCATTCTTAATCCAGAGAAGACTTGCATGTTTCTGGCCTGTATCTTGCCTATCCTCAGCTTTATAAAAGTAAAATTTATGTGACATGACCTACACATCCTTTAATTGGTAATTATAACACCTTTACAAGCGAAAATGAGACTTACAAAAGTGCAGTCCTGCACTTTTTCAAACAGGTACACCTGTAGACAAGTACACTGTGAACAACAACTTAAAAATGCACTTCAAAATTCTTTTTTTCATATTAGAGCTGTCTTGAACATCAACTGATATTCACTGTGTTGAACAGTACATTTTATTGTATGTATAACTTTCAATGACTATTAAGGACATATTCAGAGAGTTAATTTCTTTTTTTCTTTTTTTTCTTTTAACTTTTGCATTAGGAAGGGCAGAAGCTTAGGTCTCCAGAAGTTGAAAGAACAGAGCTAAATTCCCAGCCAAAATATGTCACATACTGGCACATAAATAAAACCAGATGACTCAACAGAAGACATTGCTTCATAGTTTAACATATCTCACTTCTTGGCTAATATAACTTTAAATTTTTTCTTTTTAATCTGACATTATGTGTATATATGCATATTCTTTTTGAAAACTATTTTAATAATTTATGTACTTTGTTGTTTTCCAAAAAAAACCAGTTTCAATATAGTATTTCAAGCTCTTTATAATATATTTAATCATCAGTACTTTCAGCACGCATACTTCTTGCTTCTGAACAGCAAAGAATAGTCTCTTATGTTTTGAGACACAGTTTGATTAATTTATCCTTGATTACCTTATTTCTGATCTCTGTAATGTTTTTTAATGTAAAATTTTGAGAATTTCATGAGTTTTATATCAGGCTCATTTACTGAAAGGTATTTTCTCCTGTTTGCTCTCAAGTCCTCAGCAGACTCATCTCACACGGCACATTACAGCGTCACACAAGGAAAAAAACAACCACAATATGGATCACAGTTCCTATCTGATAAAACACTGCAGCTTCAGCAATGTCAACTTTATTACAAAACTAATTGTAAAGAGTAACAACTCTTTACGTTGTGTTCTAGAGACAAATATTCCAAAGCCTTCCTGAGGGCAGCTGGTGCCATAAAGCACTTAACCCTTCTCAACCTTTATGAGAACACTTATGGAAGTCTTCTACAGGGGTAGAAACTAGTGAGATTTCTCATGTACTGAACTGCCACTGGCTGCTGCCCTTCATCAGAGGAGCAAATCTTGGCTCTCCAGTAGAAACTGGAGAGGCTCTGGTGGGTTCTCCAAAATCCCACTGCTAACGGTGTCAGGATAGAGCATGCACAATCAAACAGATGTTTATTAAAAAATCTATGCAAAAGTAAAATGTATCTTACCAAAAGGAGGAGACTCTCTCCCATCTTCTAATCCTGAATCTCGCTCCCTGTCTCTCTTTCTGTGTTTATGTCCACGGTGCCTATGGCGTCGGTGACTTTTTCTTCCACCCAGTGGCACGTGAACTCCAATGAACAATGTTCGATGGCCTACAGGTTTAAAAAAAGTTGCCTTGAAAAGGGAGCTGTGACAGCGTAACAACAAGATCAATAACCATAATATAGCATTAATGGTACAGTAATTATAATTGTGTAATTGTATACTACGGATTATTAAAATAGTTAAAACATCATTAATGATGCTGTAGCATCACAGATACACAACCTCCAGTACTGAAGCACCAGATTTATATTCCCTTTCTTCAGATTTGCATCTCTGTGTGTGAACTTTCATTAAAGCCAGACAGGTGTTCTGTAAAACGTCTTCCAAAACAGTAACATGAAGAGACACATGGATCCCTCTGCACTGAACATTTGGTAAAGTTGCTGTTTGCTTTGTGTGTACAGGAACTTTACAAAACTCATTGCTATTTATGAGCCAAACCTTGACAGAATTCTTGTGAGAAATTCACTGAAGGGAAAAGGAAAAAGAAAAAAAATAAGTTCTCTTAGCTATGTGATCAGAGCACACTAAAGCATTTAGAAGGTGGAAGCACGGGGGAAATGTTCAGAAGTACTGCAAAACAGAACAAATGGGTAAAGAATCATGACTCATTATGGGAAGGTCTCCTACATTTACTCAGCAGAAAGACATAGTCCAGATTGCTCATCTCAGATAACATTCATTTTCTCCTTGAAATGAGCCTAACACAGCTAGTGGGTACTTGCTGCTTTGCTGTACTCATTCAGCAGTGTCAATCATCGGAGAAAGGTCAAGAACATTAAGCCTAGCTAGCACGTGATCTCTAATCCCATGGAAACTCCAGCAGGGGCAGAAAACACAGCAAGGCAGCATTTGTCACAGAACATCAAAGAAATCCAAGGCTGACAGGAATTCTCTGCAGAGGCAGAGATAAAAAGGCTGGAGAAAAGGCTCTGGACATCACACAAGTTACTTCCTCAACTTCGATTCATGTAGACGAGACTAGAGAGCAGAGGCATCAATTTTTGGGAGACTATTTTTCATAGTCAGGAGACCTTTTCTGAAGCAAGGGTCACGGGTTGACATTCAATTATTTATTTATTTATGTGTTTATTTATTAGATCTCTCTTCAAATAACCCAAGAAATTATTTAAAGAGAACTGCTGCCTTTGGTGTATGTCAGATGTACTGAAATCAGTGGTGCACGAAACAAGGAAAAATGTATTCCACAAAAAGAATTCATTAGAAAAGATAGTGAAGGACAGCAGTCATGTACTCAACACTTCCTCGTCCCTTTCCTTGGGTAGAAAAACACCAAAACAACATTTTGAAAGCTATGGGGTTACCCTTCCTAAGTCTTTAATAATTTCCAGAGGTGCCAATAGATCACTTTTTTTATTTTAGTAATGTTTTGCTTTGTGATAGTGGTGCTTGTCCTATTTCGGTGTCACTTCAATGCTCAGGTTCTCTCTGCATCTGGAAATGTAGATTCAGGTTCAGACTTCAATTAATTTCAAGGGCTGAACTCAGGACCTGAGTGTAAGCTGTTCTTTATTCAGCAAACTGAAAACAGGCCCTAAACTGCCAGAACGTTCGTGTGTGTCTGAATAGCACAGCAATTCTCCCTACACAACCAGAATGTGGGAAAAAAAATCCGAAAAAACAAACAAACAAACAAACAAAAAAAGGAACCTGGAAACAGAAATGGGCAACGAGGAAAAAAGCAAAATAGGTTTTATTCCTTCCATATGAGTTCTACCAAGGCATAATTTCAAAAAACATAGAGTAAATTAAGTCCTTGTAACAAGGTTCAAGCAAGTAAAAGGGAAAAAAAGAAACTGATAGGGGAAAGGGAATAGTTTTCTATAGAAAAATGATAGAGGAAAAAAAAAAGAAAAAATCTGAAAGAGTTAAGAAGCTTGGTTTATTAAAAGAGCACAACCGTGGAGCAAAAAAAGACCAGCTCGGAACAAAAGAAAAAATAATTAATTCCAAATTGCTGGCAAAATGACAGTGAATTATAGAAGCAGGGGAAAAAAAAAGACAAATGATAAAAGAAATCCAATGAATAAATGACCTTACCTCAAGTAACCTTTTGATGGTAAAGCTCATGAACTAGTGCCCAGAATGTCAGGTACTTTTTCTTGCAGAAGTTGACTGAGACATTGTTAAAGAAGAGTTTCCAGTGAGCTCTATACATTTCCCAAGACTGGGCTGTTAACCATGACGGTCCCCTGCAGTCTCCAGCACAAAGCAGGGCAGAAACAGCCCATCTTCTCCAACAGACAATTTCTTGTTGCATTACTGTGGGACAGAGCATCCACACCTGCTCCAATGGAGTTCAAGAGATCTATTTTTTTTTAATTCCACCGAAGACTTATGTTATTCAAACATGGGAATAATTTGAAGATGAGAATAAACGAGAACTTTGCTCATTATAAAACTCCTTACTGAAATACCAAACGAAACTTTAAACTGCAATTCTAAACCTAGGATTTTTCCAAAACAAGATTTTTCAAAAAATTCCACATTTCATGAGGATTCGCTATTGCCATAAGCAAGTCCCAAGAACCATCTAGACTCTATCATTCTAATGTTGTGCACAAAAGCAGTTATTACAAGATTCTTGTCTCAGCACAACATGAATACAGATTGCAGATAGCTCCTGAACATCACTGGTATCAGAAGTAAAATTCCAAGTGACACCATTGGAAGCAGAATTCCTCCATAAAAATGCAAAACTGGGTAAAGAAGACCTTTTATTTTTAACTTCAGCACCTATGTTTACTGTAAGATCTCTGTTAAACTGACTAAATTTTCCAAGGAACATCTATAATTTCAATTTGTCTGAAGTCAATTGCAGAACACCCAGTAGGTTTCAGATTCGTTCCCTGTAGTTTATAACTTATTATATAAGGACATTTTTCATCTACTGTTAAGAAGGTAAATGAGCTTGCTTGGTTTTATGAGCTTGTTTGTGTCTTTTATTATTTAGTTAATCAGAATGCCATCTAAAAATGCCTGAATATTACTTACATATTGTAAAATTCTGCTCTGCTGTATGTTTGCACAATGCCTAGCTCAATTAGACCATAATTTCTCATTCTTCTGGCAAGGCAACAAAGGCATGGGACATAGTATCAACTGTAAGTTACAGGAGGGTACCTGCTGTGGACATCAGGTAGAACCCATAAACCATTCCAACACAAAATTTATAAACCCTTTTAAGAGGTGAGCATAGCAAACAAACTCTTTAAAGCCAAGTCTTCAAAAATACCATCACCTGGCCATCACTTTTGGACAATTTTATCACCTGCACCATGCACTGTAGAGTCCCATCAGCTGAGAAAGGACTGAAGTTGTTAGTCAAAAATCTACAAATGGATTCATGTTTTATGAATTGTTCCATGTTTACAACTCAGGTGGTTTTCAGTTGTATTTTCCAATGGTTGTGTTCACTTGCAAAAAAACATTAACAGCTGAAATGGCCCATTACAGTTTATTTTATTATTACTATATTTCATCAGTTAGTTTAGTTTGGTTTTCCTTTCTTTCAAAGAACCATCCTGTAGTGGGAAAAATCATACTTGAAACATTTCTTTATTCTGTACCTCTCAGCCAAGGACCACGACGAATATATTGTAAGATATTTTGTGCATGCGCACATAGATAGCCACATATAATCAGATCCATGGAAAAATATGCAGATAAAATGCACTCAGGCACAAACATGCAGATTTGTGGCTCTTAAGAGTCTACTGTCCTTTCTCAGGGAAAAAAAATATATCTAATAGATCAAAAAGGACTTCTGCTAATTCTCACTTCAAAATAAATCAAAGAATTTCTACGCTAAGAGAAGTTTATTCCTCTCTACGGTTTATGTTATGTTTAACTTATGTTATAAATTTAAAAATCAGAATTTATTTAGATATCAGTGAGCCACAGGATTTATCTGGTCTTCCTGAGCTTTTACAACTGATCTTACATTAACATCAACAGAGCCCCATCGTGGAAAGACTAGGATTTTATGATTTTGTTCCTCCATTCACCACACCTCTCTGGGCTCGGCCATCCAGTCAGTTGCTAACCCAGCAAAGAATACACCTGTTTCAGCCGGGAGCTGCCAGCTTCTCTAGCAGGACGCCGAGGGAGATTGTGTTGAAGGCTTTACTAAAGTCCAGGTAGACAACGTCCACAGCTTTTCCCTCATCCACTAAGCGGGTCACCTGGTCACAGAAGGAGATCGGGTTGGTCAAGCAACCTGCCTTTCATAAGCCCATGTTGGCTGGGGCTGACTCCCTGGTTATCCCGCATGGGCCGTGTGAGAACACTCAGGATGAACCACTCCACAACCTTCCCTGGTACGAAGGTCAGGCTGACCTTGCAGAGACATGTCTCAGAATAAAATCTAATTAGAAGGGGGTTGAGGGGTTAACTGTATTCCAAAGAAGAATTGTTCCTTACATCTAAATTTTATTTTAAGAACCAAATAGCAGATTAATCATCTAAAAAGACAACCACAGAAAAGCAAGTACTTTCTGTATAGCCTTTGAAAACGACAGATGTAACATCTAAAAATGGTTTTCAGAACCTGGCATTCTGGGTCTTTAAAACAGAATCTTGTGCTAGCTACCCATCTTATTCGTTAAATAAATGGAAAGGAATTATAATTTACAGTGCTTGACAACTGAGGAACCTCTGAAAATCCTATTACAATTGTCTTAGTTGATGTGACATTGCAAGGGAAAATGGAGATGAAGGAATTAAAAAGGTTTCCCTTAATTTAGAGGAACTAAGATCTTTTTAACGGAACTCTAATAGTACAGGTATTTTGTCCTAGTGCCTTCCACTTCCCCTACGAACATAATTTTAACACAGAAAACACACATATGAAGTATGTTGAGCTCCCTGCTTCTCCATCAGTAGAGGCATCTGTGTTAGCCCAGGCATGTGGGACTCAAGCAGATACCAGGAGAGCTCCAAGAGCTTCTTAGTAAACCCGCCAAGTTGGTGCCCATTGCATCAAAAGTGCCTGTCCTGGATCTGAACATCTGTGAGCACCAGGTGC